AGAGACACCCCTTGAGAATGTCAAAATGTGCGGCATGAAATGTTAATGACGGTATCTTTTAATAACGTTGACGTTATTAATAGTTGGTTATTTCATTGTTCCAAGAAATCCAAACATTTACACGTTCTTAAGAAAAAAAAAATAAAGACTTGATAGACGAATACACAAACAGCGGATAATCGGACGGACGTACTAGATAACAAAGTACCCATATGACGGTTTTGCTTTTTCGTGATACGGATCCCTGACAATTTAACGCCGTGGGATGCTTGACAGATGTGAAATTATATCTTATTGTTTCTCTATACAAACCTTGACCCCCGTTTATCCCCACAGAGAATTATGGAAAAATCCTTTCTTTACGGATGCTTACGTGATCTCTCCAAAATATCCTAAAATAATATTACTAACTTCCGTCGTAAATATAAACGAATTCACAGTATTCAAATTCGCGAATCAATCATAAATTGAAGCAACAGCTTAATCAATTTCAATGACATTTTTATTATTGTTACTGTCCACGGTCTCACTTAAAGGCATCTTAAAGGAAATTAAGATCAACATCTCTTGAGATTTCCAGACGCCGCGCCGTTTCAATAAAAGATTTTGTTAAGCTGCTGTAATTGAAAGAACTTACATTTCAATATTAAGAAACTGTAGTTATCTTTTCTTAGCATTAGGGTCATTATTCAATTGATAGATATATTATTAAGTCTGTCCACTTTATAACAAAACGTAACAATAAAAAGTTTTAACTTTAATATAAAAAACCTAGTCTAACCTTAGTCTACGTTTTGGAATAAGGTGGTATAGGATTTTCACATTGAGTAATCAAAGGTAATGTAAATCTAATTATAGATCAAATAACGCGTGTGTTAAAATCAGTTAGGATCTTTACAAGATAACTTTTTTATTATAAGCACTTTAGATAAATGCCCATGTTTCTTTTAGATAGAAAGCTAACTTTGTAAGCCTCTTTAAACTACTTTGTTTGCCACCGGTATTTCATAAAAATACTTTTTATGACTTAATAGGCTACTTTTTACAAAACATCTTGAAGATTTATTGCATGGAAAATTTTAAGCGTTCGCTCAAAGAAATGGCTTGGGTATTGAACTAAATCATAAATAAATTTAAAACGCACTCCGAAGGAAAAGTCACTTAAATGTGCCGCTCTAAAAGCCCGCTGGGCAGCGAGGTTCGCAGTTCGTACAAATAAGCTGGACGCTCTATGAGATTTGCGACCTACTTAGCGGAGATTGCATCTAACTGCATTTGTGGTGATGTCGATGTTATATATGTTATATAGGTACTACATGCTAATATTTTTAGATGGACCTTACACCTACTTAACGCTGGTAGAGTCGAAAGAAGGTTCAATCAAGTTTGTTACAACCACGCGGGGAGTTAGTATGTATGTATATCCCGTAATAATAAACCGGATATTATTTTTTACTTCTTAGTTCCGACTTTGAAATCGGTTTTAATTTTTTGTTTTATAATGATTGAATTAAAAGAATTGAATTCATTTTAGTGAAAATTACATCATCCAAGTAAACTGCCTATCAAATCAAAACTACTAAGTTGTACTTAATATTTTTATGCGATCAAGCGGTATGTACCATCGAACAAAAACAGAATCACTGAAATCAGATCGTAAATCTTTAAGTTATCGGTGTACATATAAACAATTTATCGTACTTATTATTACATCGTCAAAGTTAACAAAAATGCTCAAAACCTACTCTAGGCCAAACTAGATAAAAAAAATGGGACCAAACGGCAACTATTTCTCATCGAACAAAACAAAATCACGTAAATCGGATCAGAAATCTCGGAGTAATCGGTGTACAAACATAAAAAAAAAAACATATCGACCAAATTGAGAATATCCTCCTATTAAAAGCCGACTAAAAATAATGATGATCAAGCTTGTCGGTAATTGTCATTTATCGTCGTCACGTCTGACCTGCCTCAATAGATATTTCACATTCAAAAGGATTCAAATTTTTAGACAACCAATAAAATATGAACATTTAGGTATGCTATGATATTTTTTAATGAAAAGTAATATATAGAATCTAAAATGAAATAGAAAAAAATACACTTACAAACATCGTCACTGCTGGCTGACATAGGTATAGATTCAATTTCATTCTGAAGAAAATGATGTCATAGTGTGTGAAGTACAGAAAAAGATTGGTGCGATCGCAAAATATCGCTATCATCTTTTATAGGCTTGGCACAGACGCAATCGCTCAGTAAATTGCATTTCTTGTGGATAAGGGGAAAAATCTTGAAACTGCTTACCTTAAGAATGTAGTTGGAGGCAGTTACGTTTGAACATAATAAATATATACATGAATACTAGTACTAGCTATTGACACTTATATAAATGTACCTATATATTAATGATTCAAACTATGCGAAATCGAATGTCGAAAATTTAATATTAAAAACATTGATTTCCTCATTTAAATTAGCATCTGCAATCTCGCGTATATTTATACCTATGTTTAGTACATAGCTAGACCGCGATTCGTATTTTTTTTATCACAATTGAGTCGAAAAAGTCTTTACTATAAAAACTGTTATTATGAATATAGCCGGTGTCCCCTTATAACCATAAAATTGCCAATACCACGGGACAACGATATAATTTCAAAACTGTTTTTGCCACAACTTGTTTTTATTAATGATTTCTAGAAAACAACAACACGTATTTTATGATACAACATAACTGTGGAGTATTGTTGAAACCTCTATAATACTGACGAAATAAAAAGTGTCCGTTTCGTTTTTGTGACGGCGCGCAGTACGGCGATGTCATAAAACGGGGCAATAAAAATTACACCCTGGACAAATCCGAATCTCGAAAAGGAATGTCAAAGAAGATTGATCGGACAATGTTTGTTTGTGCTTTCAGTGACACGCGATATGTTAGTTAACTGCTTACGATAAAAGATCTAATTAAAATCGATTGTTTAATAATATTTCTAACTATTATTTTAGACGACGGCTGACTGATGAACAATATAGAACTATACATAGAATTTAGAGCCAACTTTACTTTAAGACCTAACTTATCAATTTCTGGATAAAGTTATTCATGTGAGGCTTTTTCCGTTAGTAAAAGTATCCTACCTACGAATCTGCACTCATCCCAAATCGAGATGGTCCCAACACGGAATGGGCCCAATGCAGAATGGACATTGAGCGGAATGAGCCCTGAGTGGAATAGTCCCAATACGGAATGGCGCCAATATGGAATGGGTCAAGTGCAGAATGACCCCGGTACGGAATGGTCCCAGTGCGCTAGGTTGTGACGGTAAATTTTCTCTAGCCCCAATCCGCCATACCGTCCGCAAAGGAACTTTGTTCAAAAATAAAAAAACAGTGAATGAATGAAAAACGATGCAATAATGAGGTTTCATGTAACATTTCAGCACTGTTTTGGTTCTATGCAAATATACGCCCTTTGTCATCTGTTTTAGAGTGATTAATGTTAACATTACTACATAGTCGAAAGAAATAGTTATTTATGATATTAGTGCGCTAAGTTGGTACAAACGCGTAGACCATAGACACACGTTTACCTACCAATTCCGTACGAATATCATACATCGGTTTCAACACTTTTGTGAGAAAACAGTTAATTATAATTTTTAAGGAATGAAGCAAACTTCTTCGAATAAGAAAATAAATACTCGGAAAAATATAACAAACCTTTCGCTTTTTACTTTTATTATTTAATCAATGGTTGCGTCCTCAGACAGGAGCTTAGTCTAATGATTTATTTTTCAAATTGCCTTTAGATTTTGGTAGGTAAACACTCGTAAATCAAGCAGATTAATGATTTAAATGAAAGTATAATTAAAAATACTTCTCAGAAAGCTATTCTATGCACCTTAGCCAATAGAAACTTGTAATACCAGAGTTACTTATCCTGTTCCCACCCCCTTCCTGTTGAACTATGGAAATCTACCTATAATAGTGATTTTTTTTTTCTGTAACGGTGGGGATAACTTACCTAGATAGGCGCTCCAATAAGGAAATTCGCTGTGCTTTCTAATCGATCCCTCCTGGATACACAATTGACAACTCGAAAATTCTGTTTTTCTTTCGTTCCTACTTCAGCAGAGTAAATAGAACCAAATTCTTGATAATCTATAGTTAACAAATTCTGTCACAGCTACTTCAGCAGAGAAAAAAATACTTAAATGATACTGTCTTAAATATGAGTCGCTAAAGATACCTACAATTATCGATCTGCATCAAGGTGAACTGACTGAAGCGAGCTGAATGTGTAACGATCGATAGTGAAGTGGCGCATTAAATTTTTACAGCTCAACGGATCGCGGCTATCGATACACTATTAAGTACCTTTCTCAGGAATATCAACTTTAGTAGTGCACTGGGGTGATACAGATGAAATTACGTTTGAACATGGTTTTCGATTTCAAGGTGAAGTGCTTTAAACAAAAGGAGTAAAATCTAGTAATTGATTGATCGGATAACCCCTGTTGAAAGATTTTCTTGAAGTAATTTCAATCTCAAAAGGTTAACAAAATCAATAAGCATTTAGAATAGTTCAGTTTTATGGAATGGTGATTAAATATTATATAAGACAAACAAACAATAGTATTATAATCAAAACTGAAAAAGTACGTCATGTTTTAGCGTCTAACTGCTAGTTTCAATTTACTAAAGAAAATTCCGATATACTTAATAACTTTTGTTCACCGCAATTTCATTTGCCTGCATATTTTTTGTAGAGGGCTCTGCAGTTATTTCACTGCTGTCTGTTTTGGCGACAAAAACATATTTGGTTTCGACGTAAGCGGTATTTCAAAAGGCACACTCGTAGTATGAAATTAAAAAACCCGACATACATAATTCACATTACATACTAATATTCAAATACGTGCTCTAATTTTCATCAAAAGATGAAGTCAACGGATTTATTAATTAATTTCCATTATATGTTACAAAGTTGTGAGTTAACCATTAACCAAATATTGCGCGTTCACTTTGACTGAAGCTGTGGCATATGCAAATAAATACTCGACAATACATTGAGAATGAGTCGTAAAAGCTTTGGCTATAATGGTACTTAATGGTTTCGTAAAGGTCGCCGCAGTTCTAAGCATAAAAGCGCCCAGTATTGTCTTTATGGAGGTCAAGGATAACACACACATTTCACAAGATTTCCGCCAATTACTGTGAAGTGTGTGGAGATTGCTCCTGAGCACATTTTATAAAACACGGTATGAGCCAAAGGTTCAGATCGAATTGTATACAAGATCTCGATGTTATAAAAGCTCTTCCATATTAATATGTACAAGTTGGTATCCAGTTAAAACTTAAAAACTTTGTAAGTTATACAAAACCTAAATAAATACCTATATGTGTCAATTTATTGTAGAAGTGTTTCAATGAGTTACCTTCCGTATATTCCTTTGGATTTAAGAAAATAAAACATTGCCATACGATACTAAACATAAACTGTTAGGATCACAGCTCATTAGACCCACCCGGCACCCGACCAGCACCGCCGCAGATTGTGCTGTTGTTATTCTATCTATGGATTACTATGGGTATACGTTCACTACATCAACTCCGTGTCGTTACCGGATCGCGTCGCTCGCAAGCAATCTGCGCGTGGTTGGCGGGTGGCCAACTCAGTGAATACCTGTTGCTTGCACGCTGGGCGTGTGCTGGCCGCTAGTTGTAAACGCGTTGCTTATGAGTGGACCGCGCGCTGCTTGTGAGTTGACAATGCATTAAATTTTCTTCTTCATCAGGCGGGACAGCTATTAGAACTGATTTGTGGTGTGTAAATTTAAACTTTGTGACTATCATTAACACACTACTTAATTTTCGCTGACAACGCGAAGTCAAATACGCGGTAGCACGGCGTCTAGCCGTGGCTCACCCGATGTTAGTTGGTTGACAACGCGGCGTCTGCCTTTTTTTTATTACGCAGGTAAAAAATCTTTTTACAGACGACGGCGCCTTTAAGAGTCACACCGCCGAACGGACCTCACACCTGGCTCCCGCAAGTCTTACGAACCCCCCAGTGGCTGCCCACCTGGGACCCCGCAACTCTTACGGGCGCTTTACGGCATAATATCTGCTAAAAAAGTCCTGCGAATACCTTCACCACTGCCTGATGCGGAGCCGCGGGATCCCCTTGGTAGGATTTCGCCGGGGCTCCACGGCAGGGGTCTCCCGAGGTATTACGGGGACCCCGCAGACGTGCGCAGGATGGCCCGCGCGTGGGGGCTGGGTACGCGGCCTAATGCCCAACGTACTGCCCCTCGTCCGATGCGGATGGCTGTATGGGCATACCCGTATAGCTCTCCGCCACCGCCCTTTGCAGGACAGAACTGCAAAAGGGGGCCGCCGTTCCTCGGAGAGCGGGAGGGGGAGCGAAATTCTCCCCATCCTTCTCTCCTCTCCCAGTCGCTCGCGTCTCCTCACCCCTTCTCATAGGAGAAGAGGGGGGAGACGCGGGCGACTGAGCTGGGGAGTCCAAGCGGCCTAGGCTACTCAGATATCTCCTCCTCATTGGGCACCCGTTCGGGCGACGGCGGCTCAGCGACCCCTTTGTCTGGGGGTTTATCCTTGGTGACTGGAGGGTCACACTTCCTTCCGCCCATGACGTGGTCAGCCGCCCGACCACTGTCCGCGCACACAGCGCATCGAGACGGGGCGGAGCATGCTGCCGCCCTATGTCCCGTCTTCCCGCACCTGAAGCAGAAGCTACTGCGGTCCTCCCTTGACGGGCACCTGTCGGCGACGTGGCCCCTGCCCATACACTTAAAGCAGTGCGTAGGCGGGGGGCCCAGGACCGTCACGCGAGCAAGGCTCCAGTCCAGCTTGTCGCCCTCCGCCCCCTTTTTTGCGACGTCTACGGCGCATCGCACCTTGGTGAACCCCGTGGCTCCCGATACCACCTTACAGGGCCGGCAGCGGCAGCCCCCCTTTTCCGCTACCGCCTGTACCAGCTCCTTTGTCGTGACGGACTCGTTCAGTCCGGTAATCCGCAAGTCGGCTACTTTCTCCAGCCTGCCAACCTCCATGAGATCCGCCATCACCTCACCGATCCGTCTAGCGAGGGCATCCGCCTTCATGGGGCTATCTGACCCTGGGACCACCAGGATCTTGGTCCCCATCCTGCTTTCGCGGATGTTGAGACCTTCCTCAATCCCCACCTCCTAGAGTCGCATCCTTCCTCTGGCCATCTCCAACACCTTGGTGTAGGTGAACCCATCCTGCTTTGCTGCCGGCGTAAGCTTCAGGGTCACAGCCGCGGTGTTCGGCACTTGGCCTTTCTACCCTCCTGCCGCTGCGCCTTCTGTGCTGGCGCCTTCTCGGCTGGCATCTTCTGCGCTGTCGTCTTCTGCGCTGGCACCTCCGCTCTCGCCACCTCCGGTATCGGGGCCACCCCTGGACCCGCACCCTTCTTCTTGGCGTTCTTTCTGGCCACTACGCTCCACTTCTCCTCACCGCCAACCGCCTCTGCCTCCGTACCACGCCGGTCCGCCGCTAGGGGCGGTCTGATCCGCTCCGGCGGGGGCAGTCTCCCTTCCAGTGAGGCCAACCGAGTGCTGACCCCTATGGAAATCATAAGGGAGCGTTTCAGCTCCTCGGTGGCCTCGGACGATAGCTGGACGTGGGATTGAAGAGACGCAGGGTGCGCCCCCTCCCTCATCTGCTTCCGCAGTTCCTCCAGTTCCTTACGCAGGGCCGCCAGCTCCATCCCGATCTTAATACTCTCCACAGCCGGCTCCACCGTCATCGTAGCGGCTTCTGCCCTAACCGGTGAGAGCCGTTTCTTCTCCAGGTCGTACGTGGAGAGGGAGTGCCTCAATTTATCCAACTCCACTTTAAGTCCCCAATTTTCCGCGGTGTACTCTTGCACCTCCTCCTTGAGATTTTCTATCTCCGCGACGCGCCTGGCCAAGGACTTCTTGGTCTTCATTTCGGCGCGTTGGGCCCTTTCCAACTCGTCAGACAGCTCGTTGACGATGTCCTGCTTTCTTGAACACGAGTCCACCAGATCCAAGAAAGCCTTACTCTCACTCCTGAGCGCACGTGCGGCATTATCGTCCCTACTCTCCTTCTCGCTGTTCTCCTCCATCTCGAGAGGATCATTGCGTTCTTTCGCCGTCTTCTCCTTCCCCGACGAGCAGTGTGGATCTTGGGGGTGTGGGTGCAATCCCTCGATCCTCGTCATCGTCATCGCCTCCTCCTCTAAGGCGTAACAGGCCTTTGCCTTTTTCTCCCTCGATCGTTTCGGTAACTAATTTACCGTGCGGGACCCGGTAATCCCGCAGCGCCGGTGGCCAGCCAGAGCGCCCTGACCGCTAGTTACAAACTTCTGGGGCCCAGCTACCCCAGTGTGCCCTGCGTCAACGGGTGCGCATGACATACACAAATAAAAGGTTGACATTATCATGAAGGTTTTTCCCTCTTCTGGGCGAGGGAACCCTACCTGGCCTCATCGGTAATTTTTGAAAAGGTTTTTTTCCTTGCAGCCCCCGTCCCGAAGGACGGCGGCCCCCGGTCCCATACCACGTGTGGGGCCGGGGGCCGCCGCCCTCACCAATGGCGTTTCCGCCTCAACCTATAGAGTCTCGACCACCGCTACCCGGGCTACCCAGGGCGCCGGCCGAGAGACCCCTCGGGTGATTTTTTAGAGAGGTTGTCTTCCTCGCAGCCCCCGCCTCTAAAGGAAACAGTTCCTTTGCAGACGGTGGCCCTCGGCCCCGCACTATGTGCAGCGTTACGAGCTTGACCCGACTGCCGCTACCCGGGATACCCAGGACGCCAGCCAGGTCTCCACAGCTGGGTATGGTCCACGCCGGCCGAAGGCCGGTACCCCCCATCCGCCACCCGGGAGGACGCGCCCGATAGCAGACCCAGCCAAACTGCCACGGGAACGCGGCGTCTACCTGCGTTTGCTCGTCGACCACAAATGGACATCGTGCGAAGAGGAGGTGACGCGTGGCTCTAATGAGCTGTAACCTTAAAAAGTTTTTTGTCGGCCGCTATTATGTACTCCCAATGTGAAAAACCTTTGTTTTGTTCACTCTTTAATGCTCCAATGGTGCTAATTATTTTTGGTGTAAATGAACAGTGCAGGCTGAATTCACATTCACATTGGGGCTAATAGTAGGCCTGTTCACATACAACGGCCACAAAGGCCTTTGATGTCTGATTTTATCTGATAGAGCCGATTTTAAAATAATAACATGAACAAATAAACCTAATGATTTCTATTCACATTATCGGACGTCGATTTTTGTTTCTTTATTGATGTACTGATGATCAAGTTGACTTTTCCTGAATACGTAGTTTGAATGCGAAAAAGGAGACTTATGCTAAGCTAAGATAGCTGTTATCATTAAAAAGAATAAAAAAATTAATTACTATGATGTGAACAGTTTTTTTTTGGTTTACTTTTGAATACATATTAGATTATTATCTACATGATGCATGCTTTAAAAGTTATTATTACATTATTCAGAAAAAATATTGTTAAACGCATTAAATATACATATTAAAGTATAATGCTTTTATTAAGTATTGTGCTTTTTAATGATAACAACATAATTCCTTTGTTTTATGCTGTTTTATGGTACGTAATATTAAAGGGAACGATTAAGCGATTTCATGTTTAATCGCATTTGATTCGATCAATCTACATTTATGTACAGTCAACAACAGGGCAAGTCATACAAAACTGTCGAACTTAAACTGGCTTTATGTAAATTGGTATAAGATTTATAATCGACTGAGACAATTTTACGCTGTAGTAATCTGATCTCTTACTGACTGTACATTTCATAGGTAATGATTTTATGTACCGAATTGAGTGACAGACCTAATTAATGGTGTTTGGTCTATTGTGCTAGTAGATAATGGAGCCTAATTGCATTCCCGGGGTTACGTGGAATCCAAACCGTTACAATTCATCGTTAATCATCGGTAAATGTAAAACATAGTTCATCCTATAAATAGTGAACAGGTGCCCTACAAAAACAAAAATTTAAAAGATTGCATAAGACAAGATTTCGCCGCAACTGCGTTTTAATGCAAAGAAAACATATTGAAGACTTAGATGTATGATTATTGATTACATTACATTGTTTTTGTATCGAAATAAGACACATATTTTCTTTATATTTTCTGTCGATTTAAACATACACACACGTAGGTAACGTAAAATCACAAATTTTTCATCATATTATTTTATGATATGAGAGTAATGTAAGAAAAATAAACCTCTTTACATACTTTTCCCTGTTATGAATTGCGGTTTTAGGGTTATGTAGCCAAATGGCAAAAAACGGAACCAGTATGGATTTGTCAAGTCTGTCTGTCTATCCGTATGTCACAGCCACTTTTTTCCGAAACTATAAGAACTAAGTATACTGTTGAAACTTGGTCAGTAGATGTATTCTGTGAACCGCATTAAGATTTTTACACAAATACAGAAAAAAAAACAATAAATATTGGGAAGTTCTCCATTCTTAAAACTGAAACTTATTTTTTTTTATAAAACCCATACGAGTGTTTGTACGGATAGATCTTCAAAAATGATATTGAGGTTTCTACTATTATTTTATTCTAAACTTAATATTTTGCCCGAGAAACAATTCCAAAGTGGTAAAATGTATGTCCCTCCCCTATAACTTCTAAAATATGAGAATGATAAAACAAACAAAAGGTATATGATGATTACCATGCAAACGTCCACCGAAAATTTGTTTGAATGAGATCTACTCATAGTTTTTTTTTAATACGTCATAAATCGAAAACTGCAATTTGCCTTTCATTCAATTATCAATCAATTCAAGTAAAACTAACAAGAACTATTATATTACGTTACTTGCTGCTACGTAACCCTTCAAGGGCGAGTTCGACTCACACTTGGCCGCTTTTTTTATTGCACATAAAAAGGTGGTATGCAGTTTCTGTGAAAAACATCACGTTTTATTGTTCATAATAACACCGAGAGTTGTAACGTGTTTCTTTTGGGGTTTGACAATTTATCACGTCTCGTGTTGCAGTCGAGCTTTCTGAATTGTTCGTTTAACTTTATGCTCTATTTTCTATTGAACATAGAAAACAGCAGTAGTATGGTACCTTAATAATAATTAACACAATGGTAAAGTAAATTATGGTAAATATTTAATCGTGTTGATCACAACGAAATCGTCATATTTTAAACAAAAGTAGCTACACACATAATCCACCTTTAGTCGGTTCAGAAATATTTGTTGAACAACAAAAGCCGACCCGTAGTAATTACTGCCGAACATTCATCTATACATTAATCCACAATTAATACCAACCCTATTATGTGTGTAACAACCCTTACTTGTACAAATAGAAGAAAGGATTGACCAGCTCAGCTTGTGTTGCAGTCTTAGCAACTATTGTACGCTGATATTGAACAGCTGGAACCACATAGTAATTAAATTAAGCTAAATACAGTGAGTTTTGTTTTTAGTGGTAATAACCAATTAATTGACAAATACATGTTTGCCGCCGTATAAAGATATTTTTTACATGTTAAATCATTGCAGTAAACACAGTTTCAATAATTGTCCTTGCCGAGTGATATCAAAAGAAACTATTTAATACAATTATAACTCTCATAAAACAATCCAAATATAAAAAATAAGAGGTAAGTATACAATAACGTTTGTAGTAAGGGTAGTTACTAACATGAAATAACTTTTGGTTTGTTTTCTCTTTATATGGACAGGTATCCCGATAAAATAGTGCAAAACGAAACGTTTCCCAAGGTGTGAAGTCTCTTCGTAAATAAGAATACAAATCTCGGTCTTTAGGGAGTATCACAGCAGTAAATAAGGTACAGAGGCAAAGCTTTATGCAATGCATATGAGTCAATATGCTAAATATAAAAAATTATCGTCTGTCTTACTTATTCTTTAAATTATTTATAAGCAGGGTTAATCTGACTCTCACGAGGATAATTATGCATTATTAAAGGTTATGGCGTTTTAATACAGCTGTAAATAGTCTCGGTCGTTTGTGTGTGCTTCATAATATACCTTGAATTTTTCAGAATTTTCATCACGGGATTGCTTTTGTTACTTCAGACAAGAACAATAATTGTATATTGAGATTTCTAAATAAAATTACATATTACATATCCGCTGCTGTCTGCGACTTCATGCGTTTTAGTTTTAGATTAAGGTAAATATTAAACTGTTTAACCCACAAAAATAACCTTAAGTACATAGCGTATCTCATTTTCACAAGAAATATAAAGTTTACGTAGGCAGTTTGTTTTTGCATATCCCATTGGAATGAGAATAAAAGTACGCATTCTATGATCTCAAACATACAAACTTTAATATTTACACTGGGATTTTATATTTCTTGTTAACGCCGCCGTATCTTTTCTGTTTATCTGTGATCCTGTCTAGATTGTCTGTGGCTCTTTGGGATAAGACTGACAATCGTAACTGTAGTTTTGAGCAGCTTTCCTTCTTTTGTATATTTTCCGCGTATTGTGGGTGTTATCAATAAAGAGTTTCCTATTGTGTTATAAAAGCTTTAACCGGATTTACTTTTCCGAAATAAATTGCAGGAACATAAAAATAGAAGAGTAACCTAAGCATGAATTGGTATTAAATTTTTTATTACCCAGTAAATTTAATTACATTATATTATTATTTTTTATTCCATAAATAAATTATCTACATTTCACAAGTAATGGTTGATTTTTTTTCTTTTTATGTATCAAGGCTGAATATAATCTGTTAAGTATAAGACCAGTTCAAGATTACTGATATAACTGAGATTATTGCGGAGATAACTGATATAACAGCAAAATTCACCGTTCCAGCTTACCTTAACCAGTCGATCTCAACCTAACCTCAAACCCTGTGGATCCCTGGAATCTTACCAACCAAACGCTTAAGGCCAAAGTTTAATCCAATTTATGTTCCATCCTTAAACACTCCAATCCGAGTGGAATGCCGTCTATACCTCAGGCTGTATCGCAATGAAAAGTTTACAATCAACAAATATGGTTTAAAATCCACGATTTGGCACATTTTGTTTTAAAATTCGGTGAAATTTTCTTCTTAAACTCGCGTTGAATGCTAGACTCAACTGTTTAGTGGTATTTCAATGAAAGATTTCCCGCTCTGAAAATTCATTGTGATCCAACAGAGAAAGCAAATTAAAAATTGAAATAAACCCGATATATATTTTTTTGTTATTTCACTTCAACAAAAATTTGTTCACTCAAGGAATAGAATATGGAACAGGTAGGTCAAATTTGGCCGAAACAATATCGAGAATCATTGACATTTCGCGGCACTACAATGAAAAACAATAAAATGAAAATCTATTATTCAAGATATGAAAGACGCGGTGGTCATGTCGTTTGGTATAACCACATTTCGAAGTAACAAGCTCATTATTTATTTATAGGTTTCTGGAGGGAAGTTCTATTTTGAATCGCCCATTCGAATTTGTATATAACTCGTATACGACACACGGGTGCAATAAAACTGAAATATATATTTTTTTAAGTATAAAATAACACTTTTAGCGCACTATTTATTTTCAAAATCACCGTACAATTAACCAATTAAGTTTGTATATAATTTGTTCTGTTAGGTATTTTGTATTTTAACACAATATTACTATGTCAGTGGTTTTTAACCGGTAGCTCGCAGACCCTGGAGGCATCCAAATACACGCCTCTGCAAACTATTGGTGGCCCGTGGCCAGACATAAATTTTGACAAATAGTCCCACATCAGGAAAAGGTTAAGAACCGCTGCTCTAAATGAAGCTATTTTAAAGATGTCTCTCAGTTTGGGCTCACAATTTACATCTCATCTCAAGTCGCGACATAAGGCATCAAATATTTAAATTTATCGAATACTAGCTGATCCAGAAAACTTCGTACTACTTATAACACTTCCGATTATGTGGTGTAACGTTTCTGCCGGTGAGTAAGGTAAAAGGTTCCAAATTTCCAATGCATAATCCAAAACTATTTTTTATGTCGAATGACATGAACTTCTGAGAAAGTGAAAGGTCAACTTTAGGCGAACGATTCAGTAATAGTGCCCGAGAAGATTACTCTAAGTGTCGCCGCACACGAGCCACCGACCACAACCACAAAACGCCGCCACTGGCATATTTCTTGTAGATTTCATACATTTTATATGTACTTGTGGCCCGCATCGGCCACTTAATGCGCCGATACAAAACGCTGCCACACGTCACTCGCGCAATTCCCCACCCCTCTCTCCCTTACGGCTGGCCGGCCTTGTCGGCCGCTGTCGCGCGCTTCAGCCACTTTAGTAGCCGCTTCTAGCTTCTCGTAGCGGCGTCTGTGGCTGTGGCGTGTGGTCTGTGTGCGGCGACACTAACGCCTGCTTCCCTATTTTGTACGAATGTAGCCAACTGACTTGTTGAAAACACTTTAAATGAGTGCCAATTTTATTAACTTGTGTTTCTCTCTTATAAAAAAGCTTGCACATTTTTTGACAATTATGTTTTCCACATGACTTATATTTTCAAAATGTGACTAAGACATCTCATTTATTAAATTATAATTTCAATTTAGATTAATATAAAAAGTACTTAATTGACATTGTTGTAATATGATTAATAAATATTTTTTCTTTACAAGTTCTTGATAATGTTTAATGTCCTGGAAATGTTTTTGTTATTAAACTACACACAATAAAACTATTTTCATTGTTGTCCATGAATATTTTATATTAAGACAAAGTTACTATGGACACTTGTTGTATGTGCATTGTTCTTTTGAGCATTTAACTGTTGGATGTTAAATCATATAAAAATGTTACTACAAAAGAATCCACTTGGCCCAGGTTTCAGACGGTAACCCGCATCGTTGGCGATCTAGGAGGACATACTAATTTATTTCAATAATTAACTGACTTGGTAGCATAATTGGTTAGTGCGTCCGCCCGGAGAGTGGAAGATACGGGTTCGAATCCCGTTTGAAACCTGAACCATTCAAATGATGATTTATTTAATTATAAGTGTGAAAACTTAAGAAACCCCATAATTTACCGACTGTAGTGCGAATCCGGGATGTTTGATATCAAGTTTGGATTCACATTTTTTTTTCTAGGTAACACTGGTCCCTACCCCCTCCCCATGGGTCCCCTGGGTAGACTGCAAAAAATTTTTTTTTAAATATTTTTAGGTGACCAAGCACTTGTAAAAGTCAAGAAGCTGCGCCATTGGTTCCCAAAACTACGACGGGAGACCTTATACTGAGAAGAACCTTTAGCCATTTCAACTGATATTATATACTGTAAGAAGATATAATACATCACCTTGTAAAACAATCAGGTGACGCCCGCTAATAATCGGAAGGCGACTTTCCATTGTCACAATTTGTGTATGGGACCGTAAAATTTACTAATTAACTACAAGGAATTTCCTTAGTCTTTATCTAACTATAAGGCTTGCAAACAATCCATCAATTTAGTTAATGAGATGCCGCAATAGGAATCTCGCAAACGCCAAAACCGACAATTAGCGTTTCTAACGACCGCCCATAAATATTCGGCAGCTCAAATTCTGATTCATTACCTGCCTCTTAATGAATTTGTTCAAGTTGGTGGGCCAAAATAAAAGGTAGGCGCTGGGCATTGAAAATGACACCAGTGATTGATTGAGTGATTATGAAGCGATTAGATTTTTCATTTGTGCTAAATTAAATGGAAAAAAACGCTCCTAAAGGGTATAATTTTATTGATGTCAATGAAAATTTATCTTGAAAATTATTTTTCAGAGTGAACCTACGCAAAGATTCGAAATGAATTATTAGATATATTTTTTTAAATATACACTGCTGTGTTTTTTTCATGGATTACGGGTTTACGGTGTTAAACCAAAAGTGTATAACATTCTATTATGCGCAATCTCAAACTTTATGAGCGAAATATGCTCAAAAACGGATTTTACTAATTTTGTAAAGCTAAACTCAATGGCGCGGGTGGTTAGCGCTTTCGGCTGCGATCGTCGATCGTTGGAATTAACTTTCGTAGTGGTCGGACATTGGATGGGTGACCAAAAATGTTCTTTCTCGAGTTCCTCCGTGCTTCGGAAGGCACGTTTAGTCGTTGGTCCCGGCTGCTCTGCAGTCGTTAGCACCCGCCAATCCGCACTGGGCCCGCGTGGTGGGTCATGGCTCAATCCTCCAATTCATCATAGGGAAGGCCTGTGTCCCAGCAGCGGGAATATTAATAGGCTGATGATGATAAAGCTGAAAAGGTTTTGTTTCATTGATTCATTGTTGGTTCGGCTGAACGTGCTAATCTCTAAAAATACTGGTCCGATTTGAAAAAGTGTTGTTGAGTTGAATAGTGCATTTATTAAAGTAGGCTATAGGTAATATCACAACACCCTACGACTATTAGGAGCAGAAAATCGATGAAAAATGTTGCAAAATCAGGAAAATATTCTATTTGAGAGCTTCAGGTGCGTGCGCTGCGTAAACGCTTAAAGTTACATAAAATTAGTATGACGAAATTGTTCCCGTTTAAAAGTTATATTAAAAAAGACGACAACGGTATATACTCATCTTCGATTAAGTTCGACATACTATAACCTTTTTTTTTCAAATTAACGCGAGCGAAATCGCAGGAGACCTCTAGTTATTATTTTATATACTAACGTTGTTCATACAATAAAACATTACATCATTCAATTTATGATGAGATGAGATGAGTATCAACTGGAGAGGTTCGGAACAAAAAGTGTCATTTACGTATTTTGCTCCATTCGGTTTTTTATTTTAATCGGCTCAAAATATTAAATTCTATCTGTAACTCCCAAGATTTTGTTCAAAAATTTAGTAGTTTCATAGAAAAATCTATATGAACTGCTGCTTCCGGAACAAAAAGTTACATTTTTATTCAATCAGAGTGATTATTAAGACTTGAATTCAAAAAGTGATGTATTCTTAAGAAATACGTTTGAAGAGTCTTTAGTCAGTTCAAACTGGGAACCTGATTGTGGAGAATTACATGTATAAGAAATAAAAATGTTTTTTTGTTTTTACTAGTTTACAGTTCAACTGCACAGGTAAACTTGAGTTTAGTAGAGACCATACACGTAGCTTTTCCAAACTTTCATTTGAAATCATGACCCCGGCAGCGGCGCTTG